TGTGGCACAGTGTAACTGCATGCCTTCTCCACTCTCATCTCTCTTTGCTGCATGCCATTCCATGTCCTTTTCTGCGTAATCCCTTTTTATGAGGCTGACTAAGACAGTCCTGTGTCGGCAACCATGTGAAAATGTGACTTTGCATGGCGTTCCGACATCTTCGTAAACACAGCGAGGTAAGGGCCGATGGTTGTCCGTTTGTAGTGCATATCGTCGTTGGAGCTTCAGGCATTCGCCCGTACACATCTGGATTTCTTGATTTTCATTCTATGACCCGCAAGTTAAGAAATAAACGACTTGCAAATTAACTTGTTTTGTCTTTTTTATTGAAAACGTAGAATGGGTGTATAGTGCCCAGCACCTAAGGCGACCTCAAGATTCCACCAAATGTCTACGGATCTCACGTAATTCATGGGTATAATGGCAGATACGGTTATTGTAGCGCCGTCCGGTGGAGCATCTTAGCTCAGTTGGCTAGAGCGTTGGCTGTATTAAGGCTCCTTCTTGCTGTAGTGGGTTCATACCCCACCGAGGCGTCGAGTATTTTGTATGCCTATCAAAATAACTGATCTGTGTACTTGCGTTTTGTACGGAAATATCGACAATAGTCGGTCAAGCTGTAATAAGCTCGCCTTGCCAGTCAAAATAAGGAGATATGGATTACTTGACATAGTTAAACCCTTGCTGTCGTGGGTTCCAGTTCCGCCGTGGCACCGATGCTTAACAATTCGATCAACGTGGATGCGTGGGACTTTAGGAAATATATTCTGTAAACTGAAGGGGTTCTCGGTTCTGACGGATAGGCAACTTTAGACTATACAGTGGTTTTACCATCAATTATGGCACAAAATTTATATGTCAGGTAAATTCCCCGCGAGCTGGCTGCAAACATGCAGCTCTGTATTTCGTCTTACGAATGCTGCGCTCATTGTATTAGGGCTCCTGTCATTATTCAAAAACCAAGTGACAGACGTGAGCAGATCACGCCACTCTTGGTGCATCGCTTGGTAATA